TTTCCAGGCCCAGGTGAAAGCGTCACAAACCAGAGAAAGTAAAGAATTGCAGAGGTGGCTTTAAAACACAGGTGGCTTATGGTCGGGGGGGGGGGGGGGCAGGGTCTTAGGAAGGCAGATCTTGGCCAGAGTGTGGGTGGAGCTTGCTGGGAAATGGTTTCTGACCGTTTTTAAGGAAAATGAAAATGTTTCATTAAAAAAATGTTTCAAAAGAAATATTTCCATCAGCACGAAGCATGGAGCCTCTCAGCACCACTGTGACCTCGTTTGAGAGCCAATGGAAGTCACCTCAGGGATCCATTCTTCCCATCCCTTCCTCTCCACAAGAGACGGCCACTTCTCTCATCCATTAGTCTGCTCCCAGTTAAAATATAAAGCCGTGCTTTATTGCAGTCATTCCTAGGCCCAGTGCCTTGGTCACCTCTGGGACACCCCTGGGGATGGTGCGACATGACATTGTGCTGCGCGTCTCTGACTTCTCCATTGACGTGTTCTGTCATGCGTCATCTGCCGCTAATGATAACTATTAGATGGCACCCCTTTGGATTTTAGGCAGAGACAGGCCAAGCTGATGTGGGGGCTGGTGGGGTTTAGGGCAATGCTAATCAGGGCCAGAAAACAAATAGGAAGAAGTCAAACTGCAAGCCACAGCAGATGAAGAACGGAGGGATAATGAGAAAAGTGACTCAGTGGGACAAAGTGGGATTCAATGCGATATGGGAAGATCAACAAAGCAGGTTCAAGTGTCTGTGCTGTTGACTGCATTCATCATGGCGAGGCGGGCAAGGTGCCAGCTGCAGGGCTATCGTTATTCAGTAATTTCATTGCGCCTGGTCTCATTCCAGAGTTGCACGGCAAACCCTTTATTCCTGTGCGCCCTAATGTCTAGAGCCTCCTGCTCTCTCCCACCCGCTATTTCTTTAGCCCTGCTCACTTTTATTGCTAATCATAGCTTCCATTTAAATGCTAATCGGTCTCAGCAGAGGCCCTGTTTTACATATAGCGTGTCTTTTGTGGTGCAATAAAGCTTAAGCTCCAAATGTTAAATCTCCATTGAGACTCCATTAGGCATTTTTCCCCTCTGGGGCTTGGTGAAGGGGGTGGGGAGGTGGAGCAGAGGGGAAATGATGCATTGCTTGCAAAACGGGAAACAAGACACAAAGATTATTCACCCTTTGGGATGTTTCACTGGTGCTCCTTTGTGTCTCCCTCTGCGTCCCACCTACCTCCTTAATCCCTTCCTCATCAGCGCTAGTGGGCACACTGGACCCTATAACGAAGCAGGTCTGCAGAGGCCTGGAGAGCAGAGCCAACCAGAGTTCCTGCTGCTAGACTCTGCTCCTGCCCCCAACACCAGCACATGGTCCAGACCTGGACCCATCAAGCTTAGCTCTGCTGCCATCAGTGGATTATTACCGTCAGGAGTTCTGTCCCACGCAGCTGTGGTCACTAACTCAGCAGGAAACCCTGTCCCAAAACAGTGCTAGCCTGGCTGCTGGGGAGGCGTTTGCATTGGGAGGTGGCAGGTGATGGGCTCGGAATCTCTAGGCCGGATTCAATATTTTATTGGCAGCAGGCCTTGTTTCCTGTTGAAATTTCCTGCTGTGGGTTTCCTTGCAGGACAGCACTCAGATGCTGCCAGTCTGGAAAGTTGAATACAAAACATTATTTAATAATGGGTTGGTCCCACTCCCTAGCTGGCAGATCATACCCCCTCGGGCCATGGTGCTGTGCCTAGCACACTAGCTTGTCACTAGAGCTGTCTTGAACCCCAGGTGGAGATCCTGCTCTGTGGCCTATGCAGTAGAGCAGTGGTTTTTCAACCTGTGATCTGCAGACTCCTTGGCGTCCGCAAACTATGTCTAAGGAGTCTGTGAAAGGTGGTCATTACCATAGAGCAGTGGTTTTGAACCTGTGGTCCGTGGACCCCTGGGGGTCCAAAGATTACCTAAGATTCCCAAAGGGGTCTGCACCTCCATTCAACATTTTTGAAAGGTCTGCAAATGAAAAAAAGTTGAAAACCACTGCAGTAGAGAATAGTCTCCCTATATCCCCAACTCCTCTGCGCATCGATGATGGAGAGGGCAGGGTCCTGCCCAGAATCTTTGCCACTAGCAATAGAAAGACTGGCTAAAAATCCTGAAAGGCCCCAAGCACACTGAACTGACATTGACGGGGGGCACCTGTTCCATGAGGCCCTGAGCTGACAGACCCTTTAAAAAAGGACAGGGATGTGCCTGGGGGTGTCTCAGGCTGCAATGGGGGTGGATGGCATTTGAATGCATCTGAAATTGTGTGAATGTTTCCCTGGATTTCCCCCCATGCCCCAACACTTTGGCTAGGCCACTACAGGGGGTCGTTTCGTTGAGGTGCAGCCCCTATTCAGTGCTAGGGAAGTGAGATGTAATTGTTTTTCTGTGAACTTATTGCTGGTGAGAGAGGCAGCATTGGAGCTGGAAGTCCTACATGGCATGGACAGCAGCCATGCAAGTTTCTCCACCCTGATCCATGCCAACATGCCTCATGTGGGACCCACAGGCAGACCACCCATACTGCTGGATGGCTTTAGACTCCAGGCCCAGGGAATCCTTAGCCTCCCTGCTCAGACTCCCCGCAAAGGTGTTGGATTAGTGCTGACAGCTGTGGTGGTTTTTGTCACAGTGCACTTGGAACTGCACTGAGACCTGCCAAACTCATTTCATGTACAACACAGATAACTGGCAACATTTCTATGACCCAAACAGGCCCTAGTTTTTGAGCACCTGCCACCCACTTTAAAAAAAAACTTGGTCAACAGTGTTTGGATGGGGGTGGTGCAACATAACAGAATATGTCAGTTATTGCATGTCTGGATTAATGTGGAGGTACCTGCCCCAGGAATGCACTTCCCTTTCTAAGCTCACATGTCATTCCCCTGCCCCAAATTTCCTGTGTTTTACTATATAGCGGCGTTGCTGTGCTATGTAATGCTCTGAAGATTTCGGTCTTTCCAGTCACCCTGCTCTTACAATCCTGGGAATATCCCAGTCTCCCCAGTCCCTCTTCTTTACAATGTTAGCACTCTCCCACATAGGCCAGGCCCTATGCTCTGTAATGCTGGCACCCTGGTCTCTCTGCTGGAGCCAGGGCCGGCTCTAGGTTTTTTGCCGCCTCAAGCTCCGAGAGTTGAACTGCCAAAGCAAACAAACAAACAGACGAAAAAGGACGGCCGGAATGCCGCCCCGGGAATTGTGCCACCCAAGCACGTCACGGGCTTGCTTTGCTGGTGCCTAGAGCAGTCCTGGCTGGAGCTCTCTCCTGGTGCCTATCTCCTGCCCAGAGTGGGCACCCAGCTCTTGGTGGCTCTTTAAAGATTTCGTCTTCTAGCCAGACTTTTGTGTGCTCTGCAGGTCGTTTGAGAAGCCGGCTGGTACATTTGCACCTGAGCAGTGTTTGAGATGAACCCATGTCCCAGGACGTTTTCTATCCTGGGTTTACCCCAAACTGTTGAAAACCCGGTTTTCAGTAAGAAAATGCAGGTTTTGATAAACACACACGCACAAAAAATATTTTTTGCAAGACATGGCACATCTTGATAATGTCGACAGTCTTTGTTTCTTTATCTAGGCCATTTTTGTGACACAAACTTTGAGCAGCTCCCAATAGTGTAACTTTTGTTGTTGTGGTAGCACCTGGAGCCCCCTCCAGGGAGCAGGGCTCCATCATCCTAAGTGCTGTATGACAAAAAGTCAAAAATGCTTACTGCCTACGTTACGCTAAGAGACAACAGGTGGGTACACCAGACAGACAGTAGGGGCTTTTGCTGTGTGTGGGCAGCACTCCACACACGTGTAATCTCCAGGCTTTCTTTTGATTCTTAATTGCCACATTCTGCGTTCTGATCTCCTAGAATGAGGGGAAAGGAAGGAACGAGGGAGTCTCACAAAGAGCCATTTGTTTTGCTGAGCCCGTCTGTTGTTGGGGCTCCTGTCTTTCAAGTTCCTACTCCATCCATATGCCTCCTGGTAGCAGATGGCTGCATGTGTCTGTTGGCGTTTCTGACAGGTCCAACATGATGATCGCCAGCATCCCTGAAAGTGCCCAAGAAAACTTTGGCGGGGTAGCAGAGGTGGAGACAAGGCCATGTGTCTCTCCAGACAGCAGATTGCTTCAGTGGTGCACCACTCTCCCAGGAAAAGATGCTTGAGTGAAAGGGGCTAGAGACGTGCAAAGTAAAGCGGGTCAGAAATTTTCCAGTGGGATGTTTTCCTGCTAGAAAGTGCTGATTCGTCTCAATCTAAACTTTCTGCGGAAGCCATGTTGATTTCAACTACATTTCACCGCGACTTATTGGAATGGAACATTCTGGTTTTTTTTAAGGACTTTCCAAAATTTTATTTTATTTTGTATTAGATAATAATAATAATAATATAAAACAGTCAGAATTGAAATATTTTGTTTTGATTGACCTAAAACAAAAAATTGTTGAAAATCATTCTGATTCAGAACTAAAAAACAAATATCGAAATTGTGGAACTTCCCAGGAAACAGAAGTTCTGGGTCCCACACAGCTCTAGCGCAAAGTGTGAGGAATGATTAAGAATGGATTAATTAGTATTGGGGATTAGTAACCCTATCCACATTGCTGCTGTCCCTTGCTGGGAGCCAAGCGCCCTGCTTCTGCAGTCAGCCCACTGGAGTCTTCAGAGCAGGCAGCAATGCAGCAAGCCATGTCTTTGGAGCACTGGTCGGTGTTTGTGTGCCCACCTTACACCTGACATTAGCTGCTCCCACCAATAAAGATGGGCCTGGAAATGGGTTGTAGGAGGTCTTGCTGTGAAAGGAAACATGAAAAGGCATTAGGAAAACTGGTCTGTGAGTACGAGCTCCAGTAACTTTCCTCCTCCCACAGGCACTCTGAGCTGGGTTTGTAAGTGGTGGGCAGCTGAAAGCCCTAAGCCAAGGGGAAGAGAGCGGTCTTTCCCTGCTTGTGACTATGTCCTATTGCTTCCTTTCCACAGGTAGACCCTTACGTACCCTATGAATACACCTGCGAGGGGATGCTGGAGCGGATTCACGCCTACATTCAGCACCAGGTCCGTGACCGCTCTCCCACCCCACAGGGCTTCCCACGTCATTTCTTGGGGGAAGCAGCCAGCCAGGCATCATGGCCAGCAGACTGTATTTAAAGATGTACAACAAACTGCAGGCCTCGCGCCCTGCCCCGCCCCTTCCATGAGGCCCCACCCCTGCCCCGCCCCTTATCTGAGGCCCCGCCCCTGCTCACTCCATCCCCCCTCCCTCCGTCACTCACTCTCCCTCACCCTCGCTCACTCGCTTATTTTCACCAGGCTAGGGCAGAGGGTTGGGGTGCGGGAATGGATGAGGGTTCTGGCTGAGGGTGCGGGCTCTGGGGTGGGGCCAGAAATGAGGGGTTTGTGGGGGAGGGGACTCCAGGCTGGGGCAGGGGATTGGGGTGCAGGAGGCAGTTCTGTGTGTAGGCTCCAGGAAAGAGTTTGGGTGCAGGAGAGGGCTCAGGGCTGGGGAAGTGGGAGGGGGTTCAGGGTACAGGCTCTGGGCGGCACTCACCTCAGGCAGCTCCTGGAAGCAGTGACATGTCCCTCTGGCTCCTAGGTGGAGGTGCAGCCAGGCAGCTCTGCAGGCTGTCTCCACCCACAGGCGCTGCCCCTGCAGCTCCCATTGGCTGTGGTTCCCAGCCAATGGGAACGGTGGAGCCGGCGCTTGGGGCGGGAGCAGCGTGTGGAGCCCCCTGGCTGCCCCGGAGTCGGAGGAACCTGTTGCTGCTTCTAAGAGCCATGCGAAGCCAGGGCAGGCAGGGAGCCTGCCTTAGCCCCACTGCGCCGCCAAATGGACTTTTAGCAGCCTGGTCAGCAGTGCTGACCAGAGCCTCCAGGGTCCCTTTTCGACTGGGCATTCCAGTTGAAAACCAGATGGCTGGCAACCCTAGCTGTCAGACATACATCCTCACCGGTGGCTCAGGACACAGCCAGCTAGCCGGTGGCAGAGGCTACAGCCCTGGGGGCTATTGGTGTCTGAATCTGAGAGGGGATTTTGGACTCATGAAAGTCAAGGGCCAGTGCCTCTGGCTGGAGCCCGGCATGGTACTGGCAGGAGCCATGGATGCTTCTCCCTAATCCTCTAGTGGCACCCCACCAATTGCAGCTTTGGGACTTTCCTGAGTAGGGGCTGGGTAGTAAGGTGGTGCTTGTGGTTGTGATTCAGGTACCATAGCAGCCCTGCCCACCGCTTGTCTGGGCTGTGCCTGGGTGGAGACGAGTGAGGAGTCGTGCCGTATCTGCAGGGATATGTTCCTTTGCAGTTATCAGTACATCCTGGTGACAAGGAGAGAGATGCTCTGTATGGAACCCTGCCACAAAAAACAGGGGAAATAGGGGGCCGCTCATCTCTGGGACCCTAGTTTAGCTCCAGATCTTAAGTATGTCTGTAGGCATTTATCAGAGCAAATCCCTGGGGACTGGGCTCCCCATGAAAGTTCTTCCTTGCCACATGGGCTCCTTGGGCCCCCTGTAAGCTGGCTCCTGGCAAGGGGATGCACTGGAACCTGGGAGAGCCGGAGCAGAAACAGCCTCTCATCCGAGATCCTTTGCTCACAAAGCTTGGCAGTGTGGGAAGAGCCCTTTGATCTGTCTGCTGCAGGGAAGGTCCACCAGGTCAGGGCAGGAGTCAGTAATAGAGTCGGAGTCATATATATTCAGCAGCCCTAGCTGCTGCCTGGGGAGGCCCTCGGGAGTTACCTTCTAGCTGGTGGAAGGGACCTGAGCTCAAGGCAGCAGAGCGAGCCTCAGCTGCAACCTAGAAAGTGATTCCCTTCAGACTGGCCTGATGTTTAACCATTTCCATTCCGTGGGGCACTCTGTGACCTGTCCTTTTCTGTCCCGCTAGGATTTCTGTGCTGGAGCTTCTCCTCCTCTGCCAGCGAAGCCCAATGGCCATGCTATGCCAAGCTCGCCAAACCCGTTCACCCTGTCGCCAAACGCCACTCACCTTGTGTGGTCGTACAACGGCAGCAGCACCCCCCATGTCTGGCCTCCCATGAGCTCCATGCAGGTGTGGGTGTCTGAGGCTGGGCGAGCCTGCACTGAGACCTGTCAGGAGCACGGGCTGGTCTGCGAGCCAACATTCTTCGAGTTTCTCAACAAGAAGGACGTGTTTCTCCAGTGAGTATGGCTCTCGCACCTTCACCTTGCCCCCCTGCATGGTGGGGTGATAATAATCCATTGTCCTGCTATAGCACCCCTATTTAAGCACCCCCAAAATGCTTTTCTTAGGCCTCAAAGTACTCCTCTATCATAGGGCAACATTATTATCCCTGTGTTACAGATGGGTAAACTGAGGCACAGAGAGGTTAAGGGTCTGATTGGCAGAACTGCACAGGCCAGGGCCAGCTAACGTCAGTGACAGCCATGGGTGCTAAGCATCTCTGAAAATTAGGACCTAAGGCCAGAACGGTGAGAAAAGATCAGCTTCCTCACCCAGGCTTAGCTCCAATTTAAGCGTAACGCCGACCCCTTGGATGGGTTGTCAGCAGCACGTATCAGACCTGGGACCTTGGGATCTTTATACATGAGCTTGTACTATCTGAGCTAAAAGATGCCCCTTTCTTAGCCGAGACCATCACAGGTTCATCAAGTGCTAGTTGGCCTGGCCAGCACTAGAAGGGGACAGAGTGCCACACTGGGCAAACATGGCTCACGTTAAGTTCTGAGAGTGCTCAGCATGTGGTGGGCATGTTGGGTGCTGAGCTCCTTGGAGAATCTGACCCCACGAAGCTTACCCCAGGCTGCACACCAAGCCAGCAGCGGAGCCAAAAACAGAACCCTGGTATCCTGTCTCGCAAGCCCTTATTCTAACTGCTAGGCAACACTCCCTCATTGACCTTTTGAAAGGTGAGGTTGTTCTGTTCTCCCAGTGCTACTTTCTGCAATTTTGCAAACACAGCTCCCCTTGCTGTAACTCCCTGTGGTCCATTGCAGTGCCCTTTGTACACAACCCCACATGCACAGTCTGCTTTGTTTGTGTCACTTGGATGCATTGTGCCCGAATGGGCTTCTGCTTCAAAACAAATGTTGGATTTTTCAGGCACCTTTCCCTCTCCCCCTGCCTTTTATACCTTTCTCTATAACACTCCATTTTGAACACACAGGCAGTGAAGTTTTTAATAGGGCATAAATCTGCCTCCCGATTCCATGCTGCACTGTGGACAATTAAAATGCAAGCATTGCCATTTCTGTCACACCGGTCAGGCAGGCAGTTTGAGTCCTAGTGACATTTTTATATGATAAATTAGAGCAGGAGTGCAGATTCCACTCACTCCGCTCCTTCCCCTCCCCCGAATGAAATCACCTGTTCAGAGTCAGTAGTTCAGCTCGGAGTTTATTAGGTAGAGCCATTGGGCATGCAGAGATACCCGGGGCATTCTGCTGCTGACCAGAGGAGACCCCGGCATTCTAGCTCCACCTACAGATTGGAGGAAGCAAGACAATCTCACTTTCCATCCAGTCCATTCCTCCCTCTAGTGCTACTCCAAGAAGTTTGCTGGTGCTGGCTGCAGTCAGCCCAGTTCTCAGCTCTCAGGGTTTGGCTGTCGTCTCTTTGTGTTTCTTGCCCCTGGGTCCCATCTGGAACCTCCCCTCCTGGTTAGCTCGCGGTTCCCCAGGGGAGTTGAGCTCACTCCCAGGGTACTTTCTGAGTCCAGTTACCTCCAGTCCCTGGTGCTGCTCTATCAGTGTCCTGTAGCTAGATCAGAGAAGAACAGACATCTGGAGCACCGCACAGGGCTGCAATGTCTGTCTGCCCTAAACAAGGCAGGTGGGAAAGCGAGCACAAGTCAGTGGTCAGGTGTGGCTACCGGGCTCTCTTGCTGTCTCTATCAGCCTCTCCTCTTGGGAAACTCACCCACTGCTCTATGACCAGCTTCACTTGTAGGTAGGGCGTGCTCTGCAGGTGCACCTACTTGGCGCTGTCTGAGTGCAGAGACGCTTGTTAGCTTGCTGTCAGCGGGATGGGGGCGTGTCCCATCACACTGGCCTCTCCCTGCCCTGTGGCCAATCTCCTCTCACAATAACCCACACATGGATCTGATACATGTGCCTCACATGTGTCACACAAGTGCCTAGAATCTCTCAGATGCATGGGAGCAGCTCCCATTGAAATCAATGGCCACTGCACGTGGCCGTCTGAAAGTGCAGTGTGGCCCAGAGAGCCTATTATGTGTCCTTGTGCCAGTCCCTTGGATTCCATGGGTGGTTTGCTTGGGCCATGCGGATTGCACACATAGGTTGGGATGATCTCACAGGTTTCATGTCTGGGCTGCATGGGTCACACAGATCTCAGGTTGCTCAGGTAGCCACATGTAGTTTCCAAGCACTTACTATGCAAATCATACATCACTTAAGCTTAGTGTTATTGTGGGGCAGGGACAGGTCTGCAGTGACATTCGAAGCAGGGAGGTTCTGTAAACAGAGCAGTGTTCAAATCTCCCCCAGAGATGTAGCAGCCCTCCCTAAAGTCACATTCTGATCCAACGTGAAACCCGCTGAAGAGCAGGTGCAGAGATGGACACAGCAACATTCAATTTTGGGTATTTGTTTGCCAGGCTTCGCATTGCCTGTGACACCACGGAGTCCGAGATGAACCACCTCTACCCAGCACTGGCTGAAAATGTGCAGGAGTGCTACCTTCAGAAGGAACCGCTGCTGTACAGCTGCGCAGGCTACAGCACCAAGTACCGGCGCCTCTGCCCATGTCGCGATTACCGGAAAGGACAAGTGGCGCTGTGCAGGGACTGCTTGTGATTCTCCCAGAGCCCGGAGAGCGTGTGTTGTGACACGCCACACGCAACAAGTAGCTTTTTCTCAAAGCTTCTGCAATACCCAAGAAGGACAGGACAGCTCCCTCTTCTTGGAAACTCATGTCGAGACTTTGGATGTCAGACTCTGTCGGTTGTTTTATCTGCCAGTCAAACGTCCGTGAATCACCATCTGCTCATGTTGGATTTTTTTTTTCTTGAGACACATCTCCTTCCACACCCAAGCCCACCTGGACTTCAGAGGAGCCCAGAGCTGCTTCAAGTAGGACAAGGCACCAGGAGCCTTTGGGTTTGGGTTTCATCCTCTTTGAACGTCCTCATTTATTTATTTATATTTTTTATCAAATTAAAGCAGCAAAACAACCACCGGTCCTTCCTGAGGAGTTATTTGGAACAACCTCCTTAGAAATACTTACGTGGGGGTGACAGATCTTGGAAGGCTCCAATGCCAGACGCATCTAGAAAGATGCCTTCGAGTCTATCAGTGCGATCAGCTGTCCAGCCTTTGGAAGGGGAGGGGGAGGCGTTCTACACACGCTGACGGGAGCACGTCTCTTGTTCTGTTCCCACCACTAGCACTCGTTAGAGCTTGGGACCCCGGCCCTGCAGAAGTGCGGGGATTCTGGGCATGACATCACAGCACCAGAGACGAGCGTCCCAGTGCGGTAGCTCAGAGGGGGTGTTGATGTTTGTGGCATTCATGTGCCAGAACAGAGCGTGCAGGGATCGACCCGTTCACAGCTGGGGCCAAAGAGGGACGTTCAAAGGGAGGGAGCTGACCCCGCCCCACCAAGTGGTTCCCCATCTCTTCTTGCAGCTGTACTTGTTTCCCAGATGAAGGCCTTGGCTGTAGCAGCCAGTCCTCACCATCCCCAGGACGGGGTGCTCTTCCCCTTTAAGGGGCTGGGGGCCTGGGGCCAGCCAGCCCTGTTCCATTATCAGACCCAGCTGGGAAGGGGTCAGGTGTGTTCCAGAAAGGTCTGAAAGAGCTGCTGGAAGGGGAGCTCTAGGAGAGAGGTTGGTGCCTGGTCCTGGAGCAAAGGGGTGGGAATAGGGGCAGAGTGCAGGGGAAAGACCCCTGCAGCTAGGGTTGCTCAGGGGAAGAGCTTTGTTTTGTGTTACTTTGTGAGTTTTTTGTTTGAATTAAGATCCGGCCCCAAGACAGCCCATGGGAGAGGTGTTAGTCCTCTAAAGGCTGGGGAGACAGGCCAACAGCCCTACAAACTCCCATTCAGTCAGAGACATTCTGCACCACCAGGCAGCATAGGCTGCCCCTGTGAGATCGGGGTGTGGAGCAGCCTGACCCCTGGCAGGTTTGAGCGGGCACAGCAGGCGGAGGGGTGGGGGGGAGGGTTAGCTGGGCAGCAGGAGCATCACAGATGAGAGATCCCCCCCCCAAAAAGGGTGGCCCCTGCCCAAGGAATCTGCTGGTCTCTCGCCGCTGGGGGAGGGGGCACACAATGCTCACCCCCTCCACTGGGAGCCACCCCCGGAGTGAGCCTGGCAATTATCTCTACTGCCTATGAGCAGAATCCACTGTGTGGAGGCTGGGGGGCTCTCCCGGTGCCGGCGCAGGGCTGGGGTGGAGCGTGGGGGGCGGGGCTCTCTCCCGGTGCCGGCGTGGGGCTGGGGAGGAGGGCTGCACTGGAGCTAGTGGGGGAGTTCACCCCATTTGTGAAGAGGCGCTGGGACACCCGCCTTCCAGCTTGTGACGCTGATCGGCTGCCGTTCCCCTCGGCCTCTCTCTTGCTTTCCCAGGGTGACAACTTAGGATCTCTGTGTCTTCTGTACTCTGATTGGGGTCTGTGCAGTGAGATGCACGTCAGAGAGGGAGAGGTTCAGTTCTCACAGCAGGGGATGCGGGCACCTCGCCGGGCTCTCAGGGGATGAAGCTACATGTTCTCTCTGCCCGCCTGCCTGCCTGCCAGCACCTGCCCAGGCTGTGATCCTGCTCTGCTGTGCGAAAGGACGGCAAGACTGCCTGCTGCACCCAGTGGGGGATGAAGGGGCTGGGCTGTAGCTGGAATCCCAGGAGGAATGCTGGCTGAGTCTGCCAGCCCTCCTCTTAGGGGGTCCCAGGGTGTGCACCCCCTTTTCAGAGTCCTCCCCTCCCGCTGCTCAGCCATCTCCGAGGGCTAGTCCAAAGGGAGGGGATGTCTCCATCCTCAGCTGGCCCACCCGTCAGAGTACCAGCACCTCTGGAGTGCTAACAGGGAGCCCCTGGGTCCTACACCCTGCCCCTCTCACCTCACCTCCAGGTGTGTGGCGTGAAGTGGGCTCTGGGCATGCCAGCTGGATTGAGCCCCGCTCTCTCCACCTGGTTGGAGGATAGTGCTGGGGTTTAGGCATGGGACGGGTGCCTGGAGGCCTGCCTGGGGCAGCAGTGCGCATGCTTGGGGCAGAAACTTAGGTACCTTGGGGCTTGTACTGAAAAAGTTTAGGTGCCGGGTAAGTTGAGGTGCCTTCAGGGCTAGGGGGCAGCTGAGTGGGGGTCTTGTGGATCTCAGTGATGCCTAAAAACTGGGATTTAGGTGCATAAAGCCCAGATTTAGGCAGCTCAATCACTTTGTGCGTGTAGGTCTTCGTCTCTCTCCGTGCCTCCTAGCCCCCTCTGTAAAACAGGATCATAAGGTTTCCCTCTTGTCTGTCAAGGGGGTGCTCAAATACTGTGGTGGTGGAGGCCGTAGAAAGACCAGGCTGTACCCTAGGGGAGGGTGTACTGCTACTTTTGGGCTGCCCTTGCTGTAAAAGGGAAGTGATTTGCAGTGTTCTCACTGTCCATGTGCAACCAAACGCCCCACCTGGCTGGAAGGAGGAAGATCAGCAGACACCAAATCAGTGAAGGAAAGACGGCCCACCAAGCAGCAGGTGGGATTCTGACATCTTGTCTATTATTGTGGGTGAAAAGAATCAATAGATGTTAAAGGGTCACAGGCTCCCAACAGCACTTCTTTAACCGCATCAAATCAGACCATGACAAGAAAATGGAGAGTGGCATTGCAGTGGGAAACAAGGGGAAAGCCAAGGGCTAGCCAGCTGCAGCCCTGATTTCAGAGTAGCAGCCGTGTTAGTCTGAATTCACAAAAAGAAAAGGAGTACTTGTGGCACCTTAGAGACTCACACATTTATTTGAGCATAAGCCGATGAAGTGAGCTGTAGCTCACGAAAGCTCATGCTCAAATAAATTGGTTGGTCTCTAAGGTGCCACAAGTCCTCCTTTTCTTTCTGCAGCCCTGAGTACTTACTCGTATTCTCAACGGGAAGGGAAGCATCAGTAGGATGAGCCAAGGGGAGGAATTACTGCTGGACTCAGGATGCTGAGTTGTGCAAAGAAACAAAAATCTGGGGGACCTTGAATCCTTCCCCTGGTCACTGAGCCACAAGGCCCTTAAGGCCCACGTGTGCGAATTCCCGTGCAATGTCTGTTCCGTCTGCAAAACCCCTCACCTTTGCCCCTTGTGTGCACAAATTATCTGTCTGCATGTGCAATTTGTAAGCCATGCTAGTGCAGTGGGAGACTTTGTCCCTGTCTGATGGCAGGTCTGTATAAGAGGATAAATGCCTATTACTGTTGCCGCCTTAAGACATGACTCCTTTGGCTCAAGTGGGCGCGGTTCATGCTTTTTAACACTGACGGGCTCTGGTTCAAATCCAAATGGAGTAGGAGGCATACAGTCGTCTGATTTCTGAGGAAATTGGGAGGGTGCCTGTGGGTTTCTCTGTTGCATGGAGCCCCATGCGTTACCATTGGGTGCAGCCACAATTTGCTAAATGAGACTGCTGCTGGATACAACACATCCTCGCTAGGACGATTAACCTGTGCTTCTAGCCCCCCTGTTTGACCGCTGCTCCTTCCCAGCAGTACCACGTTTCAGTGCACTGCCGACTTTTCTGAGAGCTTTCAGTCTCTGCTGTGCCAGCCTCTGACAGCATGACCATCCTACTGGCTACTGCCAGCCCTTCTGATCTCCCTAGGTAGAAATGGTACCTGACACCAATGATGGGCATTAACTCTTTCTGAATACAATGTACAGAGGGCTTCTGATTTGGGGCTTTATTCATTTAAATTTGGGGAGGGTATTTTAGTGATTTTTGAATTCTATGTCCATGTCCAAAAATCAGGCCTTTTCAGGGCTTTCTCTGATATGGAAGAGATTTTTGGGGGGTACTTCCCAAAACTCTTCTCTGAATAGGATCCACTTTAATTTGTATGACATGTATAACAATGGCTTACACATGGTTTAAGCTTAGCATGCTCGTTATTGAACCCCTGGTCTGGTGTTTCGTGCATTTGTTCCCTCGTGCACGTTAACAGAGTACTGTGTCAAACAGCACTACGTTAAAGTGCATTAGGGAAACTTTAGTATGCACAAGCAGGGTCTACGTGGACCAATTCAGTCACACACCCAGAGCCCACTTTATTGCTTCCTGTAGACAACCTCTTTGATGCAAGCCAGAGAGCAGGAGCATCCCCTAGAGAAACAAACATCACTGGAAAAAGGGTGACATCAGCACGAACCGAGTAACCATTTCTGGGTTTTTCTGGCGTTTATTGGATAAACCAATTTCATTTTTTTATCATCAGTGGTGTTGTACTGGTGTTTATTGGTTAAAACCTAAAATCAGAAGCCCTAAATACACCGCACGCAACACCGCAGACCAAGCAGCATCACCAGCTCCCTGCTCAGAGAGCTGTTTTGAAATGGTGCCACATGGGGGTAGTGTAGAGATTCACACACATTGTGTATCCGCCTTCTCCCTTAATAATATGTGTACAGTTCTCTGCTTTGTCCTTGCCTCTCTTTGTCTCTTGTTTTATATGAAAATAAAAATGACCGGCATATGAAAGGGAAGGCTTATTCTTTGTGTCTCTCTGGATGGATTGGGAACTGTTCTCAGCCTGGGATCCTACAGAGGGTGGGAGCATTTCTCAGCTATTGTGATAACAAGAAGGAAGGTGATGCCCCCATGTGGTTGGTTGGAGGGACCAATGAGCCATGTTCTGCTGCAGATCAGGCTTCTGTGCCAAAAGAAACCAGAAATGTGGGGAGCAAAGGCCTCTGGCTGAGGCACGTAAACCTGTCCCTCACCTTGCATGCCAGTCAATGCTGTCGCATTAGGAGACGCTGCTGTAATAAAGAGCCAGCTCCCCGCTTGTGCACCGGAGGATATCTGGCCCCACACGAGGAGAAAGCTTCTGCGGTGACAGTCACTCTGCACGTATTGGGGCAGGGAGGGATGCAATCGAGCCAACTCAAGAGCTTTTAACAATATTTATTTCTGGTAATAACTGATACATCAGCGAGATGAGGAAAAAGATGTGATGGATCGTTTCTTTTGCTGCTTGCATTTGCTTTTTCATTGTCAGTCTCTCTCATCTCTCCAGGTTGGGTCTCTGAGATCCCCCATGTCAACATCCTTTTGAGTTCTTCATCTAATTATTCCAGGAGATGATGGGCCTAATTCCCATTTACACAGGGGCCACTCTGCATCACTCTAGCAGTTTGAGGGGCCTTATACTGGGAGTAGATGTATTATTATTTGGATGGCACCTCAGAGCCCCACTCAGGACCTAGTGTTCTAGGTGCTGTAAAACACAGATCTATAAGATAGCTCTACCCCATGAGTTTGCAATTGAAGTAAGTGTAATTTACTCCATTTTAAGTCCCCTTTACACTGCCTGTGGTGTAAAGTAGCCTTAGCATAAATGAGAATTGAGCCCTATGAATTAAAACCAATAATGCACTCTCCTATCCGTGAAACGATAAGAAAACAAAACAAAAATATTTCATCCTTACCTGGAAAGATGGGACCCAAATGTTTCATGCCATGCATGTTACACTAGCACAAGTCCTCACATAAAGCAGTGAAAACGCAGTATGAAAAATCATTTTAAGGTACTTGTCATAATTTGTAAAGTATCCGTATTAGTCACCATTGCCTAGAGAAACTGCTTGAGTGCTTCACATTTCAATTTTTTTTCCCATTCCTTTACCAAAATGTGTGTCTTAGATTGCATATTTGCAGACTGGTTTATTAATGCAGGGTGGCTCATGAGCACGAGGATACATCTGCTGGTTTGTGATTGTAGGGTTGTGCATTTGAGCAGGGATGCAAATACTGGTTTGTTATTGTAGGGTTGCTCACTCAGGCCTGGCCGTGAAAGCTAACTTGTTATTGGGGGGTTGCTGCTAACATTTATTTTTTCTTATACTGGAGTTGTATAACCTCTTTTGAATTAAAATAGCTATAAAGTTATATGGAGTGTTGAAACAGGGCTGAAAAATAAAACAGATTGGTCACATGCTGGATCTGTTCTCCCTTTTACTGCCTTACTGTCCAATGAGACAGTTGCTGTGTCCAGTTCAAACGTTCCAGCTGGAGCACTGAAAAGGTGTTCTGGCGGCTCAGAGCTGGGTAGAGCAGGAAGCCACCTTAAAAGAAGTCTTGAATGGGTCTAAAACTATTAGTATTTACATTATAGTAGCACTTAGGGGCCCCAACCAAGATCAGATCCCATTGGGCTAAGCGCTGTACAAACACAGAGTGAGAGGCAGTCCCTACTCTGAAGAGTTTATAAGCCAATAGAGAAGATAAATAAAGGGTGAGTGGGGAAACTGAGGAACAGCACGTGACTTGCTCACAGGTGCATTGCAGGCCAGGGGCAGAGCGAGGAATAGAACCAAGATCTCTTTGTTCCTAAGCCACTAGCCACACTCCTTTAGTTGTTAGAGAGAAGCTGTGGGCAGGGGTCTTGGCCCAGCGCCGACACAGCAATCCTTGAAGCTGGCTTGGTTGTGCCCCTTTGTTCTACCTTCCAACAGCCTTGGAGCAAACTCGCCCCCTAAATCCAGCCTGCTACTTTTAAATCCTGCTGCACGGAGGGTTCATCTTGCCAGGGCCCATAACTCTGAGCAGATATAATGCCGACAGACCCCAGTCATCAGTGGGCGGGATTGAACTGGGGACCTCTGGAGGTTAGTGCATGAGCTAAAAGCCAACTGGCTGTGAGCTAAGTCTCTCTCCCTCAGCCTCCACTACTAAATGGGACAGAACACACCCAGGAGGTGTGTGGGTTACATAGGTTCCATGTGTTTGTCATTCCTAAGGGCTTGTTTTTGCCTGCCCTTATTCAATGGACTCTTAACCCAGCTGGGGGGGGAGGGTTTGCGTATATATTGGCAGCTCCAGTCAGCACTAAAGGTTCCAGGAGCAGGGAGCAGCCCCATTTTTGCTCCTGCTTCCAGAGAGCAGCTGCACAGCTGGCCTACCCTTCAGGCTGAAAGTGCAGATCTAAAAGAGCCTCAGTAAGGAGTTGGCTTCCCCTGCAATCCAAGCTGCCGGGCAGGCTGGGGGTAGAGGAGGGGCATTACAGCACTCCTGGGCTAATGCATGTGTGAAAACATTCGACAATGAGCGAAAGGGCCCCTCCAGGGTGGGGGATGCTGTTTTAGTGACTTTGACAATCTGGGGAATTGGTGTCTGTGTTTCTGGGAGTCTGACCTATGTTCTGAAATTGCCAACTCATGGAAGGGCCACAGGCAAGGGCTGTGTCGCATATCTACCAGACAAGGGTCAATGGAGAGTCATTAACCGGAAGCTCTGACCAAACAATGGTTAGGCTAAGCAGGTTGCTTGAAACGAGAAACCCATTTGATCAAGTTTCAGAGTAGCAGCCGTGTTAGTCTGTATTTACAAAAAGAAAAGGAGTACTTGTGGCATCCGATGAAGTGAGCTGTAGCTCATGAAAGCTTATGCTCAAATAAATTGGTTAGTCTCTAAGGTGCCACTAGTACTCCTTTTCTTTTTGCCATTTGATCAAGTTTCTCTGCAGGGAGGGGAAAGTGAAGAGTGGAAATTGCCAGCAGCAGAACAAAGAAACCAAGTGGTGTTGGTGGGACTTATAAACTCTAGGGACTCCAGGAGACCCCTCAGGAAGCTTGGGCAGCAGAGAGGAGCATGCTTTTGTAAGGGGGGGGGTTGGTCCTTTGTAACTGAGGGACCAGCCCAGGAAGAAGGAAGTCAGCTGATCTGGAGAAGAGGGAGAGACTCCAGGATCCTAAAGAGAAGCCGTGAGCTGCAGTGGAAGGGTCTTGGACCCCTCTGCCCCAGCCCCAAGAACGCCGCAAAGCATTGAGGATCCTGAGCCAGGGAGATGAGCACAGGTGTGTTTAGATCTATGTATTTCTTGTGCAACCAAAGTAAAGAGTAGTGGTGTGTTAGGATCCTGCACACAGCCTGTGTCTATCCATCACACTACGCTGTGCCCAGCTGTAAACCCTGAGTGCACATGTGGCTGGAGATCTGGGGTGTTTGAAAGCTACAGGGAAGTGTGAGGGGTCAGCACTAGTCCCAGGGGCTGGGAAGTTGGACTGCAGCAGATGTCCCCAAACTGTGGAGCGCACCCCTGTAAGGGGGGCATGGAGGAATGTTTGGGGGGATGTGGTGGGGCCCAGGCCAGTCCCCTGGTGGGAGCCCCGCCTCGGCCACAGCCATGGCTCTGCTCCCAGCCCCAGCCTTGCCCCTGACCATGGCCTAGCCATGACTTCTGGCCCCATGCCCAGCCTCGGCTCCATTCCCAGCCCTAGACCCACGCATAGCTGCGGCCCCACTCTGTCTGTCCCTTCTCACCCCTGCCAGAGCTATGGCCCAGCTCCTGGCCCTTGCTCCCTGGGCAGGGAGGCCATGACTGAAAAGTTTGGGGACCACTGGACTGCAGGATCTCAGCTCTCAGAAGCGGCTGTCAGACAGAGTATTTGCAGCCCCAGAGTGTGCCTAGAGACCCAGCCAGGGGCAGTGCCTGGACTCTGTTCAACTCCGGAGGCTGGGATCCGGCGAGGTGAGCCCCATACACGGCAGCCTTTTAGAACCAGTTGAAGCCCTTTTAGAAACGGTTGTCCCATAAGGGACAGCCAGTTCTAAAAGGGCTTCTAAATTTAACAACTGGCCAAAGTGGTGCCTTAGGTGCCGACTCCGTGGGTGCTCCGGGGCTGGAGCACCCACGGGGAAAATTTCGTAGGTGCAGAGCACCCACCGGCAGCTCCCTGCCCAGCCCCAGCTCACCTCCGCCCCGCACCCAGGCTTCCTGCGAATCAGCTGTTTGCGCGGGAAGCCTGGGAGGGCTGAGAAGCAGGCGGCGGCTTCCCGCTCAGGCCCAAGGAAGTGAAGGTGGAGCGGAGGGGAGCTGGGGCGGGGCGGGGGACGTGAGGAGGGCCGCCCGCACCACAGCAGATAACCCAGGGGGCGCCGGGGAACTGCTCCCCACCCCAGCTCATCTCTGCCTCCCTGGGGCTGAGTGGGAAGCAGCTGCTTGCTTGTCAGCCCTCCCAGGCTTCCCGCGCGAACAGCTGATTCGCGGGAAGCCGGGGGGCCGGAGAAGCAGAGCGGAGCGGTGCGTTCAGGGGAGAAGGCGGAGCGGAGGTGAGCTGGGGCTGGGCACAGGACAGCGAGCTGCCAGTAGGGGCTCTGCACCCACCAAATTTTCCCTGTGGGTGTTCCAGCCCCGGAGCACCCACAGAGTTGGTACCTAAGGGGCCACTTTTGATGTGATCAGTGGGGGGAGTGGCTGCTCCCCCTGCTCCTCCCCAGCTACGCTGCCCTGCCCCTAGGAGCCAGAGAGACCTGCTGGATGCTTCCTGGGAGTTGCCCCAGGTAAGCAACCCCAGGACTCCCCACCTCACCCCCCAGCAGGTCCCTCTGGCTCTTAGGGGCAGGGTGGGCACCCACTATGGTGGCCCATGAGACCCTCCTGCCCGGTTCTCGTGGGTGAGGAGGGAACTGGTTATTAAGATTTTGGCAGCTCATCACTGCTTGTATCCCAGCATAGACAAGGCAGAAAACCCTTGATATTCCTGCAATTCCTAAGGTGAAAAGCAAGTAGAAAAACCCTGTCCACCCTTCTTAATTGGCCCCAACATAGCACAAAGGGGGAAAAGCATCCCCATAGTTAGTCCAAGCGCAAGGGTCAGCACACTTGCCCATGCTTCCATCCCGGGACATGCAGGCAGGTGAGGAGGGGATCCAGCTTACCTGCAGCAGGATATCAGAGCACGGCATTCAAAGACCACCCGCACACTTAGCTCTTCCAGCTCTTTAATCTTCCAAAGAACGAGCACACACTGATGCGGAGAGAATCCAGGGGTTGTGGGAGTCAGGTCAGGGTTTGCCGCGGGGGAAAGAGCGAGTCTAGCTGGGAACAGAAACGGCTGTCATGAATACTGGGCTCTGCCACCGGTGGACAAAGGGTACCTGGAGAGTGAGAGTGGGGCTGATCAGGCCCTTCACTCTGAAAGAAGCCCACGTATTGATTCACCCTCCTCTGGAACATGGGAGCTGCTCCTGCTATGGACCCAGTTTCTAGGAGTTCTTAAATCAAGGTGTTCAGACCCAAAAGTGAGCCATAGCTCTAGGCTAGATGGATCCTGTCTCTACTGCAGAAGTGTCCACTCAGCAGCAACCCCATTCCCAGAGCCCTGCCCCCTAGCCTGCAGTATGAAATTTGGGAGGGATGGATTCTTTGGAGGCTGCTCTCTCCTAAGGTTGTTCCAAAGCCCGGGCCAGAAAACGGGAGGTGATGTCCCTGCAGTACCACAGCCTCAGGCCACCAAACCCAGGCAACAGCCAAAGCTACTCATTTGGGGCCATTTTACACTGAACCCATCACTGGATGCTGCCAGGAGGAGTGTCCTGTTGGGACATGCCTGGTCTGGGATTTTCTTACCACAGGTGAAACCAAGTCCCCACTCACACCCGTCGAGTAAGGGGCTCGGTCTCCCGGTGTGTTGGGATAAATCCAGTAGCTAATGGTATTTGCTCTGCTATATGTCACAGAGAAAGTCCAGAGTGGAGATTATGAGCTCCCCAGAAGCAGACTTCATCTGAAAGGTGAAAGCTGAAAGGTCAGCATCCCAGTGGCAGTCAGCCATCCCCCTACGCTGTTGGGCTACTCCGCCTATATCTCACTAGTGGACACACCCGGGCATCAGCCATGCGGCTTGTTCTGAACACCCTTGGTGAGGAGGTGAAGTCAAGATTTCCATTTGGCAGCGGACTATCATGAGGCTTGTGGGATGGGGTGATGGAGCTGGTAGTCTCTGGGCTTTTGAATGGGCAGCCCCTGGCACTGTCTCAGTGAGGCTTTAATGGAATCTTCTCCCCCTCCCACCCACTTAAACAGCATGACCGCGGGGTGATTTCTCTCTCCTTCCTGCTGGCATAAGCCTCCAATGCCCAATCTCATAGGCATGTGGAGGAGGATGCAGGATAAACTGCAAGAGCTTTCTGATATTAGCATGAGGTTTGTTGGGGT